CCTTCGATCTTTAAGCGCTGGAAAGAGTTATCTCAAAAGCGTATACAAGAGTCATGTAGGACTAGTAGAGCCTTGTGCTGATCACTGTACTGTGTTTGCACTATCGGATCCAGTCGTTGAGAAATTTTCAGGTGAATGTTGTTGGAGAAAGAATCAGGTAATGTGATTCGTTGATTAAGATCATATGACAGTCTCTAGAGGATTACACGTGCTCCTCAATTTCATAATCTTATGATTTATTCTCTCGCCTTGTAGCTTTTGTTATGCAGTTTTAGTTGTAATTTCTTTCCGTTCGGATTAAAGATGGATTCTTAATAGGTTATGGGCTCAGAAGAACGCAGAAAACAACTCTCGGGACGACAGGAAACTTGAGGAATGATGGTATAAAAATATCACGTTCGGATTGTTCTTCTAAGACGTGTTGACTTAGTTCGTTTGTTCAAGATGGCGGAAATCACTAAAATCGAGCGCTTGGATGGAAAGAATTATCAGTCGTGGAAATACAATATTAAGCTTGTTTTGATGGGACGCGGTTTATGGGGATTTGTTGAAGGAACAGACACTGCTCCTGGTGCTAGTGCGGCAGCTATAGTGCAAAGTGCGTAATAATAAATAATAAATAATAATAAAATATTTATATAGCGCTTATACTTTTCAGTGCTAAGCGCTTACCGTCCTCGTTCGGACAAAGCTTATTCTTTAATTGCTCTCAGTGTTGACAAGAGTTTGCAACTTCATATTTCCTCGACTACCGATCCTCGTGAAGTGTGGGAAATTTTACGGAAACAGTTTGAATGTGTTTCGATTGCTCAAATTGTTAGACTTAACCGCAGGTTCTATGCCCCTACAATGAAACAAGGAACTGGTCTCATGGAGCATTTGACGTACATGACTTCGTTGGCCGAGCACTTGCGTGAATTAAAGGAAGAAATCACTCCGCAAAGGCTTGCAACCGTAATTCTTGGAAGCCTTCCAGAGTCGTATGATAACTTCATGAGTAGTCTAAATGCTACCAAAATGGGTGAATTGAATTGGGACAACGTCAAAGGTTTATTTATCGAAGAACACAAGAAACGAGAAGAAAAGGAAGACAACAACAGCATTCGTTGAAATGAAGCATTGCTTTCTGGGAAAGGCAATTTTGCATCTTCCAGCTGAGAAACTCTCGACGTGGTGGACTTTCTGTATTTTGGAAATACAGAAAGTTTCAAGCAACGTGACCGTCAAGGAACAAATCAAGGTTTGACGTGCTACAAATGTCAACAAATCGGTCATTTTGTTAAGAACTGCCCACTCAATCGGAAGACAAGGTCACTCGAGCACTGCAGAACATGATTGCAGTATAACCATAAATTCCAGTTTGGAAGGAAATATAATTTTTTTGTAACTTTTTCTCCAAATGTGCACGTACGCTTGTTTTTTTCCCGCCATATATTTCCTGCCCATTTTGTAGGTTTCTTTTGTTTTCTCTGCTCTTTCGCGAAAGTGAAGGCGTACACTGTTTGTGCTACAGCTCAGGCATCTATTTTTACGGTATTCTGGCCATTTAGTCAAAGAAATTGCCAATATGTTGAAGACGTCTGAACGATGAGTGAACAGGTGGTCAAATGTAAAGATGTGAGTTAGAAGACAAACCAAGGAAACTCCAAGGAGTAGATGGCTGTATGAGAAATGTTACTGCGAAAAAGCTGTAAGTATATGCGTAATAATTCAGCAAGTCAGACTGAAAGGTAAAAAAACTTCAGCTTAACAATATCAAAGTTTCGAGCACAACGGTATGGAGATATGTGACCAACAAAGGTTGGAAAGCCTTGAAGAGAAAAAAAGCGAAGCACACTTCATGCAGGCATGGCATGAGAAGAATTTGCAAAGCTTATACCATAGGACGACCGGCCGGCAAAGTCACGTGGTATGAACACTCTAGAGACTATCTGGATTATCGTTGATGGCACAACATACAATCATATAGATCTAGTCCCCAAAACACTGGACAACCTAAGACAGCGAGAATGCTTCGCCTTGAAAAATGTGAAAAAATCAATATGAACACGCTCGTACATTCTATATCTCACGGCTTAGAAAATGTAAGAAAACGTAAAGGACGATATTCTAGTTGCTAATATTTCAGTTAGTCAATGTTAAGTGAATAATGAATAACATGCTTAGTTTTACAAAAGGTATTTTTTAATAATCAGTGAAATTTAAGCGAAGAAAAATCGGAACGAACTTTTGAAACACCCTGTATATCTACACAACCGGAGTCCTACAAGTGCGCTTGAGGACAAAACACCATTTGAAAGTTGGTTTGGGAAGAAACCAAATGTGTCAAATTTGAAAGTGTCTGTTTTGTCCACACCATAGATCACTTACGAAAGAAGCTTGATCCAAAAAGCCGCAAAGCAATATTTGTCAGATATCCATTGGAAAGTAAAGGCTACAAAGTGTGTGAAGTGGATGCTAACCGTTTCAAAAGATGCAGAGACGTTGTTTTTATATAAGAACAAGTTTCATACATTTGACGAAGTTACCAACAGTACATTCTTCTACAAAGACAATGTGGATGACGAGACGGAACCTGATAATGTCAGAGATGACCTAGAAATTCCCACTGTTCCCACCATTTCAATCACTACCACAGAGTCTCCAGAGAATTTACCTTCAGTGGGAGCCACCTATGAAGATACTTTTATGCTTCAAGTGCGAAACCTTGGTCCAACCAGACAGAACCACAATCGCCAAGGAGTGGAAAGAAGCCTTAGACGCTGAATACAGCTCATTAGTCAGTAATGAAACATGGGAATTAGTACCCCCACCAAAGGATGCTAACATAGTTCGATCGAAATGGGTTCCAAAGGTTAAACGAGATGCTGATGGCAACATCAACCGATACAAGGCAAGACTCGTCACACAGGGATATTCACAGACACAAGGAGTAGATTATGAGGAAGTTTTCTCTCCTGTTGCCAGATACTCAAGTATCAGAACATTGCTAGACTTGGCAAATGCATATGATTTAGGAGTTCATCAAATGGATGTCAATACAGCTTTCCTGAATGGAACAGTCGACCATGACATTTACATGCCTCAGCCTGAAGGATTTATTGATCCAGATCATCCTGACTATGTGTGCAAGCTAAAGAAGAGCAAGTATGGCCTCAAGCAGTCAGCTACATGTTGGAATCAAACACTCGACAATTTCTTGGTGACAAATGGCTATCGGAGAAGCCCCTCATCAGTTTTGTCATCTTAGCAGTCTATGTCGATAACATCATTCCTGGATCCAATGATGTTAAAATGCTCAAAGCAGAGAAAGAATCCTTATGCAGAGAATTTGAAAAGGTTGATCTGGGAGAAATTAACTTCATCCTTGGAATGTCAATCAAGAGAGACCGAGCTACTACGACACTGACCATTAGTCAAGGGCAGTACGTTAAAGATTTGCTTAAGCGATTTGGAATGGAAGAGTGCAAGCCATGTCCTTGCGTCCGAATGCAAGGGTATTGTTGATGTTCTGAAAGGTATCCAAGACATTCTCAGAAATGGAGATCAGGCCCCGGTTGCTGGAAAGCCGATTAAACTATCCTCCAATTAGCGTCAAATCCACGATTAATTTTCTTATTCCTCGGATAGCTAATCGTGGGTTAAAAAGGAGTTCCTGAGAGCGAAATAGACCGACGATTAACTAATCCCAGATTAGTGTTAAAATAAACCGGTTTAACTAGTTTTTGGGATGATTGCTTTTACAAAATGTGGCGCGAAAAATGTTTAGGCACGGGTGAAGTAAAGGAAAATGGCGGAAAATGAAGTGGTCTAGGTTGAACCAAAGGAGAAGAGGAAACCGAAATTCTTCATCTACCTAGAAATAATCGGCCCTGTTTTTATAACATAGTCCTTATATTCAATCCGCAGTCCACAGTCCGCAGTCCATGTTTTAATATGACCAAATTTATTACATGAAGTAGTAACCACGTTGGCAACTGCTTATGTTTTCTCCTCGTCTGTCTCTCGAGGTCGTTCTTGAGGATTTCTACCAAATATTGAATTGACTCTCGGCCAAACCTGTATCTACTGCAAAGCTCTTCATCAGTGAATTGGTCGAGATGAATTTCTTGCTGTCGGAACTTTTTTTCACGTAGTTGTGGCAACGGTAAGTCCACCATTGTTTGTTTTTACAAACGTTTTCACCCGATTATTGACTTAATCGACCTCGCTAGGTGGGTTAAAATTAACACTTAGTTTATTCGTAGATTAAGGTTAATCATGCTTTCAGGAACAGGATGTAATCGTGGGACAAAATGTATTCCGCGATTAGCGAGATTTATATCCTCGATTAGCGCAAATCGGCTTTCTAGGAACCCGGGCCTGGACTTCAGTGAGAAGCAAAAGGAGAGAGCAAGGTGGGACTTAGACTACGCCGTTTCCACGATCGATGGTTGGAAAGCTCATTTATTGAGGATTTTTCAACAAGATCAAGCAAGACAAGATACACTCGATCAGTTAGATGACCAGACCATTAGGGTCATAAATGACTGGGCCGTGAGAAACAGAATAGAGAAACGCAGACCCAGTGGTTCGACAAGCGCGGAATTAGCTGGCACTTTTCTGCTGTTGTTCACACAAGTGAACACACAATCTACACATATGTGGTTGCCATTGACAGCTGCAAACAGGACTGGTTTTCCGTTTCTTGTATACTTGAAAATGTCCTTGTCTGTGTCAAAGAACCACATTAATCAGTATGTAGAGCGATCCTGAGAAGTGATAATGCTGGACGCTACCACGGTAGTGCGCTTTTGTCAACCATCAATTCCACTAATAGAGGGTCAGGCATCGAAGTAATCCGCTATGATTTCTCTGACCCTCAGTCGGGTAAGGATTTATGCGACAGAAAGATTGCCCCTTGCAAACAGCCCCTTCGACATTATGTTGCTGAAAATCACAATTTGGAAAGTGCAAAAGACATAAAGAAAGGCTCAGAGTTCCCACCAGGAATTGCAGGAATGAGCTTCGCGGAACGCAAGATTGACCAATCAGCGATGTTAGCAGGCGCTGCCAATAACAAGCTTCCGGAAATAACGAAATGCAATAATTTCTCTCCGACTTCTAAAAGCATGCGCGTCTGGCAAGCTTACAGTGTTGGAGAGGGCATGGATATAGAGGGGTCTTGGAATGAACAGGATGTCCCTGGGCTCGAAAGGATTGGAGAGTGGACGAAAAAGATACCGCGTGTTACACAAAAGAAATACTAGCCAAAGGGAAAACTCGATGTTACCGAGTCTGTCAATACTTTTAGCTGCATTGAACCTGCTTGTATTGCCACCTTCAAGACAATCGAAGTGGCGGATGAGCACATGGACACAGGCCATCATATTATGACTCCAGAGAAGGAGACCATATACGACAACGTATGTAGGCAGCGGGCAGCTGTAACGACATCCGTTAAAGGTGCTGGCCAGAAAATTGGCAGGACAGATTATGTTCTTGTGCCAAACTTACGACTGAGCAGAGGATGGGCCTTAAAGAAGCAGAAAGCTGCGGTAAGAATATCTTCAGGTGTCAAAGAATTTTTGACAAATTTATTCAACAAGGGAGCTAAGGATCTTCGCCAAAAGTTATGCCAGCAGACGTCGTGGAGCAAATAAAGAAAACGTGCCCAGTTTCAGAGTAGGTTGAGGTACAGACTGTCAAAGGATACTTTTCTTGGCTGGCTACGCAGCAGAAGAGACTTCCAGTTAGCAAAGAGGAGGGTAAAGACGTAGCGCTGGAGAAAGATGCTTACATGGAGCAACTAGTCGGGGTGGCTGAACAAGAAATTGGCCTCAAGCACCCTCTTGTATATGAAGATTTCAATTTTTGTGGTCTCTCTGCCAAGGGTAAATTAGCCAAGGTTCTGGAAAAACACAGTCAGCTACAGTCATTCTGCGAGTATTTTGACGTGGAAATTTCTGGTCGTGCTAATCGTAAAGCATCGTATTACGAACCTCTTATACAATTTCTGTGATTGCCGCAAGTAAATCATTTATTCAGATTCTTCGTCTTAAAACCCACCTTACCTAAAAATCAGTGAGTCAGTTAAGGTTGCGCGACTCGTCGACTTGGTCCAGTCATCGCACTCTTGCGTCCAAGATGATATAATACCAATCACATCTCGAGGCGTGTCATGACTTGGTATGAGGTGTTTCATATGAACATCAACACGAAAAAAGTTTATTCAGGTCTCCTAACTGTGGATCCCCTCTATGGTTTCACTTACTGCGCGCTAAAGTATTTGGGAAATCTGATGGATCGCAGGTCACCTAGACGATGATCACTTCGCACGTATGTACACTGTATCTACGTTTGGTCATGATTCATTACTGATGCAAGACCTGTTTAGCCTATTTTAACGGCAGACAAGGATTATCTGTTAACGGTCGTTTTTGCTAAGCTTACTTTATCTTTAAAACAATGGCTTGGAAAATTATTGGGACTTTCCATGCTTGCGGTAATAAATGGAAGTATGACCTAAAAAATATAAATCAGAGAAAAATTCAAATATTTTTATATGAAGGTAAGAACATTGTTATTTGTGCTCTATATTGGGTAAAGTAAACTCTCTGGTAAGCGACCACCCTTGATGCAGGACAAAGTGGTCGCTTATGCTGAAAGGTGGTTATCTACGGCAAAAAAAAAAATTAAAAATAAGCTCAAACCGAAGTGATTAACGTGATTACATAAGTTATTACCTAACAAGCAACAACTTGGGCAAACAGACAACTGCCAATAATGTTTCAAATCGAATAGCGCTTAGAACTGTTCAAAATTTGTACGTAACATCTTACATCAATGTTACAATCCATTGTTACATACTGATCGTATTTATTTAGCCTTTTCTGTTAGCCAACTGCTATACTCTGTGAGCACGCTTGGTTAGCGCTTTTTAAAACTGAACTTTTGTGATGTTTGAACTATGGTTTTCTTAGTCATACGTGATCATTGGGTCAATAAAGTAAATAATGGTATAGGTACCGAAGTTATACAAGAAGGCAGGTAGATACACTGATTTTGTGAAACATAGGCACGTTTTACGTGCATGAGCTATTTTGAATTATTCAGTGTAACAGTATCGGCAATCCACTGTCTTAATACTAAATTAAGGCTATGTTTTGTGCGATATTGGGTATTCCTGTACATTAATGAAAACGAAAACCGCATAGCTGATTCGATCTGTTAAATTCACTTTTCTTTGTTTTTCCTTCAGACATCTGGTGCAAAATAAGCAAATTGTTAAAGTACTATGAATATCAACTCACCAAACGTTGCTTAGAGGGAAGACTCTACAGTTTCAAGGTTTCTTCATGGTTTCTTAAAATAATGAATGTCGTCGAATACCGAATAGCTAAGATTTTCATCATTGTTGAAGGTGGTTGCATCATCATTATTCACGAGGTTATCACGTGCGATCCTACTTTAACGAAACAGTCTTTAATCCTGACCACTTAATTCTAAGAGTGTTATGAGATTTTGCTTCGTAAAAGAAAAGAGCCTTTGCTTAGGCACTAGTTACAAAACTAAAGGTTAGGTTGAGTTTGATCGTCCGGGTGAACGTAGTCCTGAATAGGACTGTTGTTGTTGACAGTGAGTGACGTTTCGACAACCTCTGCGGTAGTCATCTTCAGAGTCAAAGTGAGTTGTATCACGTGAGTTGATGGTATCATACTCTGGTTATTGATCTGATTGGTCAATTATGTCGCGATGTTATTGGTCGTCTGTCAGTTAAGCCGTGATGTTATTGGCTATAAAGACTCGTAATCAGTAATTGGTGCTTTTCGATCCGTCTATTGTCACAGGTAAACAGTCGTCTATTGTAAGTCAAATTGTTAGTTCTCCAGTCGTTCTCTCGTAGTTAGTTTTGTTTGATCTCGTCAATAAGTCGTTTGTACGGTGCTGGTAACTGTTGGCTACGATTCAGTGGCGTTTGTTCTAAGTTAGTAAACCAGCTTTCTAAGGTAAGACGTTGATAGTAGTCTGTAGAATACGTTATACATGTCGCAGAGTCCCAGTCAATTTGATGTTTCGTCTTTAAATGGTGCTTAGCAATGTGATTGTTGACGTCACCATTCCTCGCCGCTCGTTTGTGTTCGGTCAGTCGCGTGCTTAGGTTTCTGCCGGTTCGCAGCAACGATCGACAATGATCAGCGATCGTTCTCGCTGCGATCGCTGGAAAGTGTTTTCCTCATGATCGCTGCGATCGCTGAATTTTTTTCTCAGCGATCGCAGCAATCATATGGAAACCAGGCTTAAGTTACTCATCTTTACTAAATAAGATACGTTTCAATAACTATAATACTTGGTAAGCAGGAAGGATGTATTATGTTCACTTATTCATGTTTCTTTTCCGGAACGAGAAAGGTCTGTTGAACTTTGTAAGCGAGAGAATAAAGCTTGTTTATAGGATTAACAATACCGGTACAACTTTCAAAAAAACAAGCTGCCTTTCAAACATCTAAAACCACAATTTATAGGCCGCATACTTTCGAATCAAAGTCCATATCTAAATATCAATTATTGTTTCCTTGGAGGAGCTTTGAAAATATATGATCTTTTATACGTTACCTTTGAGCAGGTGAAACAACTCATAAATACGTGCGTTGTACCGTTCGCGATAGCCGAATTCGGTCAGAAATGTCTTGAAGTAGCATTCACACTAAAATATAAACCCTTCAACAGCTGCATCACTGTACACAGCGTTTGAATCATGAAGATATTTAATGTAATGCTTCTAAACACCTGTAGCCGTAATAAAATACGAAAAAATTGTGAAGAATCAAGATGGCGGTCTCAAAGTGCCCTTGTTCGACCTTAAGCAATGCCATGTTTAGTAGATGCCAAGATCTCATTGGTTCCTAAGCATCAACTCATAGTACCTTCAACCTTATTGGCTCTCGCAACAAACAACCGAAGATACAAAGCCACAAAGATACATACGCTCACACCAATGACATATGAGCTGTTTTTGAAAATAGGTCAAAAATGGCAATTTTGGGTTGTAATTTTGACATCAGTTTTGGCCAGCTCTAGCCCCAGGCCCCTCTCTGTCCAATATCTTGAGGACAAAGATGAAACCTCTATTATAGTACAGTCCATGGTCAAATTCAGTTGGCAGCACAATTTATCAATTGGGTTTTATGGCACTTTCAAAATGTCCCCTGGAAGGCTTGATTTTTGGTGCTCAAAGGAAAAAAATGACCCCCCCCCCCCCNAATTTGTGACAAAGTACCTGCTGTACCTTTGGCAGGTGCCTTATCTTAGCTTGCAGACGAGTTCAACCAGATACTGTGTAGTGCATGTGCTTTGTAATGAGTACACACTAGATTACAATCGGACACGGTTGGTAGTAGCCTCCAAAAGTAGTCTTGGTCCAAAAAAGGTATTGTGTCCATGCACAATTTAAGTTAAATCAAGAAATGACCCGCGTCCGTTCTGTAGCCTGTGATTTATTGGAGAATTATTTTTACGAAAAGTTATTATGTGGTCATAAAATGTGCTCATAGCCAAACTTATGAAATTATTTTTACTTTTCTTAGCAAGAACTCGATTGACGTGAAAAAAGGACGTTTCCATTTTTAATCATTTCTTTGTTACCATGAACTGTTTAGTAACTTTCAGTCTTGTCAAAAACGGCGTCTTGATACTAAAACAGGACTTTTCACATGTGCATTGCAGTGTTTGTAGTAAAGTCTGTCATTATTTTATTATGTTTTCTTCAGGAACATTTTCAAGTTTGCCCCAAATTTCCGCAGGCTTGTGAAAAATGTGGACAAGAAAACATACCAAGAGATATGGTAAATCACTTTTCTGTAGCCACGAATCTTGCTCTCCTAAGAAATAAGTAAATAAACAGGCGAGAAAAGGAAGTGTTATGATTGTCTTTCCATTCTTTTGTGATTATTTAGGATTTGTCTTCGTGCAATTCTTGTAAACCTGTGTACATGTAAATATATTGAAAACGTTTTAATGACAATGATTTTCAATGACTGGTTTCTGTTGGTGCCCATTTCCCTACTAATTAGAAAGGGAGAATGATAGGTCGCGCGTCAACGTAAAACTGTAAAAGTTGAGTAGGGTTGAACTTTTACGTTTAGGGGCGGCGTTTGGTACATCGTTTCTACTTGATTTAGGCACGTAAAGACCGTTAAGTGTACGTCTTAAAGACCTGAAAAATTATGCAACAGTAAAAAAACCCTCTTACAGAGTTACGACGCTAGTGAAATTCTAGCTTCTATTTGAAAAAGCGGATGACAGTTTCTGAATACAATTCCCGTAGAAGAGTGAGCTAAGTTGGGAATGGGCCCCGGCATTAGCCTGATTTTCACATGCGTTATCACATCTACTGCACAGAGTGGGTGGAAGAGTACAGTATGATGAGTGATGGTACTGATATTGAATAGTGGTGGTAATGGTGATGTGTCGATTTTATTCAGACACGTGAATTCTTTTTTATTGCTTGAAGTGGTCAGTTATTGTTTTTCTACTTTCAGATCAAGGAACATTTGGAGAAAGAGTGTCCTAACACAGAAATCAAATGCCCTTTTCACATTGTTGGATGCACGTATAAGGTATCACAGCTGTTTGTAGGCTAGAAATACCGGCAGCATAGAGC